GTAAATTTCATATACAGTATATAGGCTATATTTTATAATTTGTTTTTAAAAGGTATAAAAATAAATATCATTTTAACCGACTTCGTTTTAAAAATCAACGTATAAAAAGCGTATGTAACTAATATAAGAAGATTCTCAACTAAATTTTTGAGTGAATGATATCATAAGTTTATATTTATTCGAATTTCTCATTGCAAAATGAATATTAAATTTCTACTTCTACTATTGTAGACGTACTATTGAAAAGTATATCCAACAGTAAAGCAGGCAAGACCATTATGCTTTAAACCAACTCATCATATTTATATCATTGGATTGGATGATAAATCCACTTCAAAATTACACAAACCTCAGCCTTATAAATTAGATAGATTATTTTGACATATTCAAATGGCTCGGTAATTCGAAGATTTTAAAATTAATTATATAAGNCAGATTTAGTTAAAAAAAACTTCTGGAAAATATAATTATCATGATAATAAATTCTAAAAACTTAACGAAATATTTACATGGAAAGAAAATAAATATTATTCGGATCTTTTTAATCCATGATAAAGAGACCATTCACCTTTAATGTTGACAGATTTATTACGTTTGGAAATTATTTCTCTTAAGATTGATAACAGTAAAATTCCCGTCTGTTTCACAATCTCACATTTGTAACTTTCTATTTGTTATCGAAATCGTAACATTGCATGTTAGACAATCTAGGTTATCGTTTTGATAAATTTCTAAGTATTATAAACATTTATACTTTATAAAAATAATTATTTCAGTTAAAATTAATTATATAAGCAATTTATATTTGTGTTATTTTAAATAAATTTTTCTTTTGTTTTTAGTAAATTTTAGTTTCTAAAAGTTTTCAAGATAGTAAAGCACTTGTTAATTGACACTTTGTAGAAGAAAATAGTTACAAAACCGTGCGATCTCATATTGATTAGTAGTTGGCATCCTCTCAAAAATTATACCATATTCTGCAAAATTTTAATAATTTAGTAACAATTTTTATTATATTTTATTCGTTTTTAGTATACAATAACTATCAATTAAATTAACTTTTTACTTTAAATGGCTCTAGCTGATTATTTTCATTTAAAAGTTAAATTTTTTGAGAAATAATTTTACATTTTTTGTTTTTCTAACTCTATTGTTGCTACTAATTTTAAAATAATTATACAATATATTATTTATTTTCCTTCCAATTAATAATTTGATTAGTTAACGCGAGACACAACATTAAGGCTCTATTGTTCATGAGGGCATCAGCTAGAATAAGTGAAGGATAAGAAGCAATCTTACCCATATTACACATTAGATTATAAGGTTTAAATCGGGTTCGAATCCGAATCCCCACGCCAATAAGCTTATACATTATCACACATTCATCTTGCCAACTACAAATTAGAATATTTAACATACACATTATACGGTATTAAAAAGTACAGTATGTTTTAGTATAAAGATAATATATACTGTATATTTATGTAGTGTAAAGATTTAATATATAATATTTTATATTCAAAAATTCTCTGTGCATAAAATTCAAAAATATAATGAAAATCGGAACTGTTACTGTCATAATCAAAAATACAATGATTACTGCTCTTAATAATAAATATTCTGTTTTATGAGAATAATAAAATCGTGTAATGACGACAAATATCGTGACATAATTTTTAAAATGCATAGTACTTAGAATGTAGATATGTAAATACATAGAATATTTTGAAATAATTTTAAATTATATATATATGACGATATTCTCTGTATTCTAACGTAGCGGTATTGTTTACAATATGTTCTATTCTAAGAATTGTACTTAGGAAAAGTAAAATTAAAAAATTAGAAGATTTTTCTGGAAAAATGTTAAGATAATTCCTCGAAATTGTCAATGACTACTTAATTATTCTCAAAACAAGATTTATCTATAATATTTCAGACTTATACATAAATATATTTTTTATCTATAAGTCTGAATTATTTTTAAATATATAATAATATAAATCACAATATTAGATTGTTACAGTATTAAAATTAAAAATATAATTTGCATTGTTATTTAAAATTTTCGAATTTATTATCTCTGTAAATAATTTTTCTCGAAGGAAGTACAGTATCAATAAAATTTTTCTAATTTTTTTCTACGGAAATATTAATGATTTTATCAAAATATTTATCGAATTAATCGAAATTTATTTATTAAAAAGTAAATAATTGTCATAATTTTATACCACAGAATATAAAATATTTTTATTTTATATTTAATTTCTGTATTTCTGTATTTAAAACCCGAAAACTTTGCCATGTTCTGAGAGAATCAAGATACGTTTTTTTTTTTTTTAAATAGCATCTTAATTAAGATCGATATAACTCTATATTTTAATTAGTTAAAACACTTAATACATATTTTTAAATTATTATCTTTCCTGGAAGGAACAAATGTATAATGCTGATCAAGTTAATGTCAAAGCATCATTCACATTCTGGGACATGTTTTTGAAGCTTTCTTTTATATAAATAAATCTAAAAATTAAATAAATTAATCGAGTATATATTACATTACGTGTTATCTATGTTTGTTTACTTTAAAAATAGTATAGTTACATTAAAAATGAATCTCAAACTTTCCTGAAGTCGACTCCATTTTGATGATTCGAATTTTCTCTTACCTACAGATTTATGTTCAGAAATTGTGTGTTTATAACTATTAAGAAAATAACGTATATAAATGAATCACGAACCTAAGCACAATAAATAAAATAAATAAAACAAATCTCAAATTTCAGGATATGATTATAGTATAAAATAAACCGAAATAATTTCTCAAAATTTTGTAACATTTTTATAATATTTATAACCAATCACTCGAAAATTCGTAAAATAAAAACTAGATATATCAAATAATATATAATATCTATATTTATGCATTAAGTAATGAAAATTTTTCGGGTAAAATATAAAAATAATTTAAAAAATCAGCAGAAAGAAGTAGAATCGAATTAAAGCGATGAATATTTTATGAAAAATATTGCTGAATTTGAGTAAATTATATGATGACAATTACCTTATAAATCGTAATAATGTTAATAGTGTAATGACCTGGGCGAAGTTATCGTCGTCGACTTTAAATTTTACTCAAAATTTCACGAACTAGGCCATTTTTTCGCGTTTGTGCTGACGAAGTGTATTAAAATACGCTACTCATTTAATAAACAATGGGATAGTTATGCAAATAATGCTTCATTTTTTAAATAAATGCATTAAATTATACAAAATACAATTTATTTTTAATCGAATATTTATCCTTTGTAATATAAAAATACAGGAAAAGTATATTAGTCAATAACATCCGAAAATATATATTATATAACCTATATTTTTCTTTACCTATTATTTATTCAACTGATCTTTAAAGTAGATAAAATTCTGTAATTTAAAGATTAAAACAAATTGTTGTATTTTTAATAAATCTTTAAAAACATTCTATTTACTTATACTATATATATACTATTCATAAAACAACCTATAATACGATTATATTAGATTTATGATTAATGTATACGGTTATTTACATGATTTATTTTTTCTATGATATAGTTAATTATAACAATTATAATTAATCAGAAATATATCTATTATAAAATATTGCTTCTAAAATCATTCAATCTATAGCAATTTTTACAAATTTATAAACGTGTTTATAAAAAGTTTCCAACATAAATAATGAATAACAGTAAAATACAAAATAAATAACTCAAAAATATACAAAAATGTATAATAGAAAATGAGGTAATTAGGAGCTTCTATCAAACATATTTTGTACAATGTATTTTTCCATGCTGTTGCTAATCTGTCCATATCTGTTGCATTAATGCATTTATCTTTTAATCTGCTTCTATATATTTTAAGCTTTTTAGTGTTCGTTTCTTGCCCTATACACACACACACATACATACATACATACATACATATATATACACACACTAACATTCATACATAGAGAAATTACCCCGAAATTTTTTGTATTTTTATACGTTTCAAGATTTCCTAAGTCCAAAAATGTAAAAATCCTGGGGAGGATCACTTCTTGACCGATCGTCATACTTTCTTTCAGCCGGAAGAGTAAAAATTAACTATTTAAAAATGTTCCATTTAAATTATTTTAATCATCTTACACTGTCTAAACTTCTAAGATATTCTAAAATTTATTGAAAATTCAGAGAATAATTTTAAATATAAAAATAAAAATAGTTCCGTGTTTTCAATACTCTTACAACATATATATCGAGATTTTAAAAATAATTTGTATAGGAAATTTTAACAGATAACCAATATAAACTAAGGTGATAAGATTAGAATTTGAAGGCCGAATGCTGATTAAAGCATCAGCCTACCTCTCAGGGAAACCTGGATCGAAGCCGGGCGAGCTACTACAAAGTTTGCTTGAGCGATAAGTGACCACACCACCCAGTTGTCCCTATTGTGGGCTTGGCTGTTTTTCACGTGATAAATGTGAAAAACAGCGTGTATAGATTTTAAAATGTAGCAGTTTTTTTCTTAAATGTGTCCTTGAAATTTACGTATTTACTCAGTTTCTTCTTTAAAGCGTAGTGCTCAATCTTTGAGTGACCACGAAACTCATAAATGGGCATTTATGTGTTTCGTGATGTAGTATTTATATTTAAGCGTTATTTTAACAGTAAAAATGGTAGTGAAAAATGTTAAAAAGATTATGATATAACAAGTTTGTAATTTATAGTTGACAACAAAAAATAAAAATAAGAAAAACTAGACAAAGAAAAATTAAGATATAAAACATTCGAATAATTTATAATAAAATATTTCTTATATATTAGAAAACATAATAACATCGATTTTAAAATCTAGACACGTGATAATTTACAACCGGTTCGTAGAATTTGAAATTATTTTAGACTTCCTCTTAACACTACTTTATGACACATTGATAACATTATATTGCAAACTCTTGCACAACCAAATTGAAATTTTATTGGTTCAAGCTAATATATTAACAAATCGCAACTCTTCTGCTTATCGGTCTTTACTTATATAAGTGAGAAAATTTTACTAAAATTGAGTTTATAGAATAACCAATTGTTAATAAGTAAGCCTTTAAACCATTTACATGTTAGAAATTTAACTATGTTTTAAATGTTCTTAAATAAAACGCGTTATAATTGCTAACATTTGAATTTTTGCAGATAAAATGGAAATGAAAGTGTTCTTGGGCATATTCTTTCTGGTATATAGTTGTTACTCCTATCCAACAGGAGCACCACCCGAAGCTTGTGGTACATTGGCACCCGCGCATCCCGTTATAGTCGATGGAGTACCGACTTCGGAGATCCATCAACCCCAAACAGGACCTTCTCCCTACAAACTGGACGCGATAAAGAATTCTGATGATTCTATAACCTGTGAGTATAGAAAACGATTAACTTTAACTTAATTCTCTCTTAAGTTAAGTTACTTAAATGTACTTTTGTTTATTAGTAATTCTTAGTGGAGAGGACTTCAAAGGATTCGTCTTCAGAGCTTTCGACGGAAGTGGAGAACCCATTAATGGCCAGTTTGAAGAGAAAACTGGTTTGAGAACAATAAATTGTGATTCTATTAAAGTGAGAACTCTTTTCTTTTATAATAAAAACGTGCTTTAATTAAAATGTGCAGATTTTTAATATAAATACATCATTGCAGGATACTGTAACTCACGTAGATGCAAATGATAAATCGACATTTGAATTTGTTTGGCATCCACCTACCGATGCCACTGGATCAGTTATTTTCAAGTAAGTTAACAATATTTTTTTCCTTAAGAAACTACGAGTTTAAAAATTAATAAACGTGCATATAAGAAAAATTAAAAAGTAATTTTCATTTTTCGTATACAAAAATTACTTATTTTTTAAAATTCTTTTAGGGGATCCGTTGTGAAAAATTATTCAACGTTTTGGCTAATCGAATCCGAACCAGTCAACTATTAATTGTAAAAATATGATATTCTGTTTTTATATTTGAAGCTTGTGATATGTCTTGATGTATACAGAAACATTTTGAATAAAACAAAACATTTACTGATGTGAAATTTGCTATTTCTATTTCTATATATATATATATATAAAGTAAATTGGAGTTTACTGTTTAGATTTTTATTATTTTAAATAGGACAAAATGATAATTATTCCTCAATATTAAGCAGTGGAATTTCCGAAATTATTTTTAGAATATGGGTGATGCTCAGAGCAAGTTAAGGTGTCTCAAGGCACGTTTTTCGAAGAATGTTACTCAAATACGTTAGAATTACTTTACCTAATCTTACGTAATTGAAGTCATACGATACCCGTTATTATATTTATTTTTATTTTAATGTGATAAAATGTATTACTTTGGTATTACACATACAAGATGATGCTTTAGCACCATAAACACCTATTGGATAAACTTCATACAGTATGGACGAAAGGTTAAAGTTAACATTTAAATTTAATGGGGGTTTTATAATCAACAACCTTACTGTAAAGGTATATATAATAATACAAAAATGTTTTTATTCATGAGAATTAATGCAGTAGGCCTATATTTAAGTTATATGTATCATTCTTTATATTGTAATCAATATGAATTAGTTAATACATTATAAATATATATTAATACAATTAATTCATATCCATTTACAAGTATTAACAGTTAAAATAATTATTTATGGATTAAAACATACAAAATTTGCTTGCATATTCTTCATCAAAAGTATAATATATAAACGTTAATGGCCAGCTTCTGTGGATAATATAGTGCAACGTTATTAAAGAAAAAGTTATTTTATGTTTATAAAAGTAAAAACTATTTACTATTTTTATGTTTTTTAAGTTAACAAGTTTTTAGAGTGAACGTTCATTTCTATTTAATTAATTGCTTAATTAATAATAGTTAAAAACTATTCATTAAAATTGAGAAATTAGTTCTCATTTAAACTACTTAATTTAAAATCAAAATTATGTATTATTTCTATAATTACTAAATAATATTTCAGAATAATGTGAATAATTTCCGGCATGATTAATCTTGTTATATAGACTCGGATCATTACTTCACCTCCGCTGATGTCAGTCGTCTGTGATAAAAAAAAATTAAAATATGTGTAAACATTATCGGATAATTAGTGAAAATTCATGTGTAATTTACAAAAACAACTATTATTAAAATTTTTAATAAAAATATTTATAAAAATGAAGTAAATTATTATTAAACTTCAAGCGAAATAATGAAGATTATAAGTTGTAAAATTTGTCATATGACGAATAATGTATATTAATTTAACAGACAAAATAAAAATTGTTTTTCCTTTTTCTTTTATTATTTTGACTTATTTAAAGTAATATATTTAAACCAGATAATTAAAATAAATTTAAAAACGGCATTCGTTGATTCTTCTGATGATAAAATGGCATTAGGATAGGATATTACAGAATAAAAATTAGTACCAACTTAAATTTGATTTTTTTCTCTCAAGTTTTTTTTAAATTTAAAATGATTTTCTCTTTTTCTCAATATTTTATTCGTAAAACTTTATTGATAATTTAACTTTTTATATATATATTTTTTCTATCTATATTTAGAGGTTAAACAGTACAATTTCTTTGAGATACTCTAAAAACTTATTTCACATATAAATTAATTAATTTTTTGGTGCTAATTTAAACTATATTTATTATTATTTCTTTAAAAGAGATATATTTGGAAATGAATATAGTACAATATTGCTATTAATACTTCATACAGTAAAGATAATAGTGGAAAATGAAGTAATATGAATGTGGTCCTGATTTATAATTTTAAGAATAAAATATACAATTGAACAAAATTGCACATAATTAATTTTTAAAAAATGCATATAATGTATTTAAAATAATTCAAACACGACAAAAATAAAGTGCAGAAAATGCTCAAAAATGTGGAATATAAAAATTGTATTAAAACAATTCAAATAATTAAAGACAAAAAATTAATTATAGTAATCAATATGAAAGACAAAATAATATTTAAAAAATTGTTTTCGCTAAATAATTTAATTTATCTTAAAGACTAAACTAAATTACAATTTACGACTGATTAATATTTGCTTTAATATTGGTAAACATTGAAACAAATTAATTTTTAGTTTTGTAGATTTTCTTGCAGGTTTGACTTGCAAGAAAACCTCCAAAACTTTGTTTTCAGATCTATTTATGTGTATAATCATACAGAATATACATAATTTCAAAATATATAAGTAATTTAATAAATGAACCAACATTGTAATTAATTCTCTATTTGATGCATCTAATGCAGTTTCCTCTTTACAGATTTCCTGTTTAAGCTAAATCTGCGTATCCTTTTTGTTTAGCGATCTCATCGAAACAATTTCTACATAAAATAATAATTCGGTGTGATTTTTTCTATAATATACATAATTTAAATGCATACAGGAATGGGATGCGCGACTTATCGCCTATGATCAGACTGCAAATGACACGAACAAAACTTGAAATTTGCCAAAAATTACCAGTGTTATCACGTAGATATGACGAAATTTTAATAATCTTCTTTACCTTCTTTACATGTTTTTGTTCCAAACATTGTTTATATTTTCTTATCAATTTTTAATTGAAGTGAATTCAGATAATGAACATGTATCATCACTTTCACCTGTTAAATCATATTTCATACCTCTAAAAACGCGTATTAATTATCGACTTGAAATTATTATATTAAAATATATTTCCTAAATATACTGTACTTTTACGTAGAAAATAAAACATTAATAATCATAACCGCCGCGTGTCATCTTATTTAAATTTAGTAATTTTGTATACATTTTAAATATATTTTTGTTCCATTTTTAAATTTTAATTTATTTTTTTTAATTTTTGCATATTTTTGGTAATTATTTTTTGCCTTTAAACCGAAGCAGTCATCTATAAACTATTAAAATTTAACAGAAACAATGCGAAACGGCAATTATCAAAACAACTACTGCCATTTTTTTTCTTCTGTTCTATTGGTTTGGATAATGACCTATGGTTGAGCTGGGATGCATTACATTTTTATAATCACGTGATTCTAACTTTTTCTATTTAAGACCCAAGTTTGGATGGAATTAGTCAATTCAAAATAAAGTTACAAGTAAGTATTTTATATCTTATTTTTTTTTAATATAGCAATAATATATAGTTTGAAAAGGTGTCTTAGGTACGAAAATTGTTTATTTAAATCTTCTTTTTGCAAAAAATCAATAAAGTTTACACTAATTTTTAAATTTTATTGATGAGAATTCAAAAAGAAAAATTTGAAATTATTCTTCTGTGACGTGTTATTGACCTCCAAATCTATTTATATGGATGACTACAAACTAGTTTTGTTATCTGCTTTAAATTGAGTTAGGAAGTTTAGGATTTAAAAAAAAAATGTTTTTTTTTAATTTTTGTCTATTGTTCATCATTTGATTAGCGGAAACAGTTTTAAATGAGTTTCGATGAGAATTTTTTCGGCTGAGTTTTAATATAAAAAAGATTTAAAGAATAGTTTTAGACCTATGCAATTAAATGTTTTCATAGAGCTAAATATGAAATTTTTATTAATTTTGTTTTGTAATTTAGAAAGAAAACTTAAAAACTAAGACAATGAAGCCCTGTCTCGCCGTACTTCTTTTGGCAACAGCTTGTTATGCCTTCCCAAATGGAGCACCACCCGATTCTTGCGAGGATCTATTGCCTAAACATGCTAAAAAAGGAGCCGATGGAAAACCTACTAAAGAATTTTTTCAAGTTCAAACAAGTGTTTCTCCATACAAACTAGAAGTTAAAGCTTTAAAATGTGATTTAGTTGAACGTAAGTATGATTTTACCAGAGACTATAGGGACGTTCTCACCATTCAACGTCGTTGAACTACTACAAGTTGAAAGTCCGTTGAACGTAATGATTTCAATTTAATTCATTAACAGGTTTAACTTTTGTTGTATAGTACAACTAGCTGTCAACTGATGTTGTTCAACAATAGTTGAACCGTGTGAACGCCCCTTAATCATTTTTTCTCACAGCTTTCATTTTGAATATCGTATTCTATTAGCCAAAAGATCATTTTTGCTGTTTAAATTACGATTCACATCATAAATTAATTTTAAAATTTTATCGCACTTTTCTATTAATTGTTGAGCATTTAAAAATTTAATTATTTTTTTTTAAGTTCAATTAAAATTGATATTTCAGTACTAAGAATGTGAGCGATTAGATATTATTATTTAATTTTTGGCTATGTGTATTTATTTAATTTTTGTTTTGAGATTTTATTATGAATGCCAAAAAACTGAACTTTTAAAATATTTTTCTTAGTAACTATTATTGGTGCCAACTTTAAAGGATTTATGATCCGAGCTTACGACAAAGAAGGAAAACCAATAGAAGGACACTTTGTAGAAGAAGATGGATTAAAAACTATAAAATGTGACGAAGATGAAGTAAATATCTATCTTCTTGTTTAGTATATTCTTTAAAATATACTTAAAATTAAACATTCTTTCTGTTATTTATAGGATACAGCAACACACACTAATTCCAAAGAAAAGGATAATTTCACCTTTCAATGGAAGTACCCAGAAGGTTGTGACAAAGAAGAAGACACAGAAGTTATTTTCAAGTAAGTTATTGATAAAGTTTTTTATTGAAAATCATTTTATATTTTTCCAAAATAATAATAATAATGGATTGTATTTTACAGGGGAAGCATAATGAAGAGTTATTCCAGATTTTGGATGGTCGAATCTGAACCTGCCATACTTAAAAATTCGGATTAGAAAAGCATTACAAATATTTAATTGTTGATTTAAAGTTATTTAAATTTACAAGAAAGCGTTTACATGTTTTTTTTTTATTTTCAAATTTGATTAATAAAACAGATTATACTACGTTAATTTTGTGTTGTTTCAGATTTTTTTCTTGAGAAAAAGCATTACAACGGGAACTAGATAAATTATTACATGATTTTTTTTTTCTTATGTTTAACAGAACTAACTTCATTTTAAAACAAGTAAATTAGTTTATTTCTGTTTTAATACAAAAACTTTAATTCTTAAGATGCTCCTAATCTTTATAATTAAATTAATATTAAACAAATGTACACATTATAAATGTCCTTATTGCATTTATGTTTATGGAAATTTCTAAAATACATGTTTTACTCTAAACCATTAACTTAACAGTTAAACATTTCTAATAGGAAAAACAATTTTCCAAAAAAAAATGTCATTTACAGATTGCATCAAATCACCAAATTTGTATTCTGCTCAAATATTAATGTAAAAATTATTTGCAAAGCCATAATCTAGATAAAATCACGTTGCATAGAAATTATTTATTCGGCTGTTTGTAAACAAATTACAAGACAAATTATCAATATATAATTGTTAAAAGTTTCGGAAACGTTAATTTTAAATATTTCTATAAAAAATTTTTCTTTTCAAAATAGAGTGACGAGTTCAATATAAGGTTAAATATGTTCGCATAACCGTCGATCGCTTATATGGAGCCAGAGGTTAGAGCGGATCCATTTTGTCTCCTTAGTGGGCCCTCTTTGTCACTTTTTGGAACAAATAAAATAAGTGGAAAGTTAAAAAGAAGCATTAAAAATGTTATTTTCTATTAGTAAAAATAATATTGATTTATAAGGTGTAGAACAACTACTGGGTTTTTAAAATGTTATGGCTGTTTTTCGTCTTAGTTTGTTGTCCACATTTCATAGCAATACATCGAGTGTTACATATATAACAGGAATTTTAAAGCCTTTTAAGTTTTCTTCGAGTCTAGGGAAAAATCTTCAGCTTCCTCTCAACGGCTCTGAGTAGAAATATAAAATTACTTAATTTATGCATGCCTTATTTATAATAATCCAAGTCGAGTTTATTTTAACATTTTTTTAAAATACTTTATATTAAAGAACAGAAAATTATTTAAAAATTAAAGTAAATTATATATATATATATATAAATGAATGTGTGTCTGTGTGTCTGTCTGTCCTTCATGCATTACCACACCGTTTATCCGATTGCCGTGAAACTTTGGGAAGTTGTTTAATATACTCCGGCGAAGGTTTGTGGCATAGTACGATTGCCATGAAACTTTGGAAAGTTTTTTTAATTTTTTAATACACTCCTGCGAAGTACATTTATCCTACGATATATGGCGCGCCTTTACACGAGCATTCGCGCACAGTGTGTTCGATCGATTTCAAATTGCGAAGACCATTTCCCCCCTTCAAAAAATATCTCTATATATGCATTTGTGAACTGTTATTTACGATATTTGTAATAATTTTTGTTTAATCACTTTATTTCAACTTTTTTTTGCTAATTATGTATTCGCTCGAACTTCGTTAAAACCTTAACTGTACCCCGAACAACAACCGAAGTTGTAGGAAGAAATTCGCGTATTTTACCGATCTAGGTATCCCCCCTTTTCCAAATTTTAATATCGACTCAAAATAATTTAAAAAGACAAATTACAATAAAACGGTTTATTATCCAACTATCAGAAATTTCACAACATGCCAAGGAAGAGAGGAAGGAGCAATTAAATAATTAAAATTATAAAGGATTAAAAAATATATATATAAATGGGGAATATCGCGCTTCTGACAATCGCTGCAAGTGTGTGGGCTAAATTTGGAGAATCCGTGCTTCTCGCATGGACAACTGTATGTGGCCAGCTCACGCGTCGGAAAACCTTCCGAATTATTCGTGTACGCACCAGACGAAAAAACAAAAAATATCGTGTATCCACGAGCACTCCAATAAATAAATAGAATTGAAACGACACTTTGAAATGTTTTCCCGATGAAAATGAATAATAATAATAATAATAATATAATAATAAGTTTCAATAAAAATTATAAAATGAACATTTAATTTTATCATAACGAGTTTGCTTGAATTTCCTTTCTTCTGAGATCGCAGCAATGCGCGACGGGTAAGCTAGTTTATAGATAAAAGAATATCTTCTGTTGCTTAATATACAGTATTTTAAAAAACTTGTTAAAATAAACTTTACTTGTCAATTGTTAACAACTTTTGCAAAGTTATCTTGATCTAATTTTAAAATAAATTACAAAAGAATAGGAAAACACGTTTAATTTTTTAATTTATATTTTACAAAAAAATTTCAATACATTTTTCTTAAAATATTTTCTTAAATATTGCTGCAGATTTTTCATATTTTGTATTTACTTTTCAGTTTTGCATTGTAGATTGTTTATTAAATGAACTTGATTGAATTAAATCTCTAGAAACCTATAATTTTGATGTTATTTATATAAACATAACAGACGTAGAAGTAAGGCAAAGAGTTGTATGATCAAACAATGGATAAATTGTCCTCGTCCTTGACAACTGTCGATCATAAAAAATAGACTACTGCAAACAATCACTTCTAGGTAGTGACGAATATTCTCGAAAACCTGATTTTCGAACAGGCCTGCAATCCTATTCTTGACTTACATATTAATATATTTTTACTTCTCCGATAGTTACAAAAGCATTAAAATTCTAAACGACGAACTTGGAGCAATGCCATATAATGAATAAGATTATAAAATAAATAAATTTATATTAAAATTTATTAAAAATAATTTTTAAAAACGTAAAACTTTCTATAGATATTTTTATTAAAAATTGTAAGTAATTAGATGAATGAAGATGAGTAAACGTACAGTACAATCCTGTCCAATGGCAATAGAAATTTGTCTTTTAATAAAAATAGAAATATGCTGCTGCAATGCGATGGTGAAATTTTCTCTTGTCTCTGGATAAAAAAGAAAGATTTATTTTGTTAGAGAACGTGCTCCTTCAGTGGCAATACAAAGATGTGAACAAGTGAAGTCCTAATATACACAGAACTTTGGCAATATAATTGTATTTTTCTATTTTCTACCTCGAACTATTATGCAACTCTTTAATTAAGCTGATATTTGTGAAGAAGAACTTTCAAACTAAACTAGACCGGTAAAAAGATTAAAATAAATTATATAATTATTACTTTGTATATATTATTTCAATATCTAATATACTGGAGGATGGAGAATGTTGGTACTCAGCAGACTTGTCATATGTGCCGAGTTGTCGCGTATCGTTTGGGCAGGTTCGCCACCCCTAATATATACAATATCACCAATAGCAGAAAACTTCGCTTCTCATTTTTCAAATATTTTTTTATTTTTTTATTCAATATAAATATTTTCATTTTATTATAGTCTTTAGTATTTATGTGTTTTATTTATTGTTTTCATATTTGAATTTATTTGGAGCATTTACTTGTGTTATTTTTATCTTAAATTATTTTATTTTTTATTCAAGTTTATCGAAATACATATTGTTTATGGTCTGCCAACGGATTAATTCACTTTCCGTTATTTCTAATAGGAAAATTAATTCGGACTTCGAACGTCCTCCTGGAACGAATTAAATTTGAAGTACGAGGCATCATTGTATATATTTTACTTTAATTTAATAATTTAATTTACTACAGAGCATAAATATGTATTTTGCCCCAGTTCCCCGTTACCCTCTGGGTGTTCCTGGCTATGAAGTATGAGCAATAGATGTATGTCTTCGGAAAGATTTTAATAGTGATGTAACGAATATTCGGTTACTATTCGGTATTCGGCCTATTCGGCCTATTTTTCGCTATTCGGCCGAATACCGAATACCTAAAAACAGGAGTAAGAAATAACAAAAACACAGTAAATTAATCATTTTGGTATTTAGATTTAATGTTATCGGGTTAGTGTTGTTTGTTTATATTTATTTATAACTTATAACAT